GGAGGGGCAGAGAGAAAGGGAGAGAGAGAATCTGAAGCAGGCTCCATGCTCTCCGTGCAGAGCCTGACACAGGTCTTGATCCAGTGAACAGTGAGACCATGACCTGAGCCAGAATCAAGAGTCAGAATGCTTAACTAACTGAGCCACGCAGGTGTCCCTTAATGTGGTTTTCCAAAGAAAAAAACAAACAAACCAAAAAAACACAAAACAAACAAACAAAGGAAAAAACAACAAAGGAAAATATCTTAAAATATTTGTCCAGGTAAAAAAATTTCCTGGCATAGAATAATGTTGATTTTTACATGTGACTGAAAGGAAAACAGAATTTACTTCAAATAAATTTACTTTATAGAAAATGTAGATGAGATATATCAGTTCCATAAGTAATGTGGAACAGATTTCTAATATTCACCCATTCCCATTTTTCCTCTATTCCAGGGCACAGAGGAGAGTCTTATTTCCAAGCCTTCAGACTGGGCCATGTGCCTAGTTCAGTCCAATGGGCTATGCGCACAAATGAGGGCTTACTTCCAGGAAGAGCCACTTAAGGGTGAGTGAGCATTTTCTCCCCTTCCTTTCATAGAAACTAAGGAGACTGCATGTTTAGATATGGAGACACTCAGCCTGGTTCCCTAAGCCACTGCTGGGAAAAGGCAACCACTTTGGAGAGTGGACTTTGCATTAGTAAGAAGTAATTTTAATGTGTTGAGTCATTGAGTTTTCTGGACATACCTACATCTCAGCGTAGTCTATCCTACTAAGCTAAATATAGTAAGGAATACCTAAACTAACACAAAGTCATAGCCTTGTCTCTGATTATTAGTTTTCTGAAAATCCTGAAATTCTGATAATCTAGAAAAAATATTTGTTGGACTACTAGATATGATAGGCAATGGTTACCATGATAAACTAGTTTTAAAGGATGGTTAGTGGAGGAGGCTTGGTGGCTCAGTAAGTTAAGCACCTGACTCTTGGTTTTGGCTTAGGTCACAATCTCGTGGTTCATGAGATCAAGTCCCACATCAGGCTCTGTGCTACGGACAGCGAGTAGCCTGCTTGGGATTCTCTCTTTCCATCTCTCTCTGCCCCTTCCCAGCTTACGTGCACACTGACTCTCTCTCTCTCCCTTCCTCTGCCCCTCCCTCCCTCTCCCAATCAATAAACACTTTTTATAAGGATGGTTAATGAAGAATATCGTTTAATTATATGGTAGAAGCTTCCTTAGGATTCTTTTTTTCATTTTACCCTTGCGGCATATACATGAAAAGGAAAACCGTATCTATTCTGAGCTATGCCATATCATACCTTAAAGTAATTTTAGTGATGCAGTCTAGCATATTAACATAAGGGACTTTCCAGTCTTAAGAAATTAAAGCTAGATGTTTAAAGAGGGAAGCAAATTTTAACCTTAAATCTTCCTTTTCTCATCTATCACATCCTACCCTTTAGCTAAAATCACTACTTTCAAAGCTCCCCTTCTCGGAGTGATCTTCTCTTCCCCTCTCCCACCCATGTTAAACCCTACCTGAACCTACTAGAAAAGTTATTATAAAGAAATGCACTATAAGCTAATGTTGCTTCGAAGTGCCTCAATACAATTTTTCTGGGGTAATCTACATTCTAATTTGAAAAATATATATTATAATCTAAAGGGATAAATCCTATTTCTGAAAGTATTACTATCATTTATTGGTTGGAAGGGTAAGATATCAGAAGGGAAGGTTGAAAATCTCCATTTTCCATCAAAATACCTTTTTCGGGTGGCTACATATTCAATCTGTCCATAAAGGTCATCCTCGAGTAAGGACATCTCTCTTAGGCAGAGCTGTTGGTAAGCGTCCGTGATGGTTAATTCTACATGTCAACCCGACTGGGCCCCAAGGTACCCAGACAATTGATCAAACAGTTCTGGGTATTTCTGTGGAGGTGTTTGGGATGAGTTTAATATTTAAACTGATAAAGTGAATAAAGTAGATCACCTTCCCCAATGTGGATGGGCCTCATCCAATCAACTGAAAGCCTGAATAGAACAAAAAGGCTGACTCTCTCCCCAAGTAAGCAAGAATTTCCCCTGCCTGACTGCCTACGAGCTAGGACACTGGTTTTTCCCCTGCCTTAGGATTCCAACTAAAACGTCGGCTCTTCCTTGGTCTTGGGGGCCCTGGCCTTTGAAACCGGAGCCACGCTATCAGCTCTCCTTGTCTCCAGTTAGCTGCCTGCAAATCCCGGAACTTGCCAGGCTCCATAATGGACCTTCATATGTCGATGTATCCATGTAGATGTACATCTAGATCTTCCATTGGTTCTGTTTGTCTGGAGAACCCTAATGCACTAGCCCATGGCATTAGAATTACACCCTGCGTGTGAACACCATACCTTTCCAGGGTCTGCAATTTTGATGCTTATACCACCCACCAATAACTGACTGAGAGAAATGTACAAGCAGAAGACATAGCAAAAGAGCCAAGATAAGCAGAAGAAGCAAGCTAGTGAGGGCTTAATATGGTTGGTTGGTTTACTGACCAAAAGTAAATAAATGTTGAGGCGATAGCAAAATATGAAGACAGATGAGACCAGGAAGAAAAAAAAGAAAGAAGTGTAAAGAGAAGAGTTAGCCAGGGAAGGCCATGGACAGCAGGAACGACAGAGATGAAAAATAATAGTGCTGGTGAGCAGCAAGTCTCCTCAGGGAAGAGCGAATTTCAGAATTATCTGGGAAAAGGCAAAGAAACACAATTTGCAACTAGATTAGAAAAGATGTCTAGAGTTAGTGAAGTCTAACTAACCCCTATATCCACTGGAGGCATTGATGAGTATATGGATAAATTCATAACGAAGACCTGAAGTCATTAAAAAAAGATAACTATAGGGGCGCCTGGCTGGCTCAGTCGGAAGAGCATGCAACTCTTGATCTCAGAGTTCGTGAGTTCAAGCCCCCTGTTGGGTGTAGAGATTACTAAAATAAATAAATCAACTTCAAAATGGGTACGAGAGGGGCACCTTGGTGGCTCAGTTGGTTAAGTGTCCAAATCTTGGTTTCAGCTCTGATCCTAATCTCACGGTTGGTGAGTGCAAGGCGTGAGTCAGGCTCTGTGCTGAGAGCCCAGGGCCTGATTGGGATTCTCTCCCCGCCCCATCCCCCCTCCCAGCCCCTTTCCTGATCACTCCTGTGTCTCTCTAAATAAGTAAACTTTAAAATAAAAAAGTCAGTAGATACATTACAGAACAACAGATTGGTGGGGTGAGGGGTTGTGTGAAGGGGGTCAAAAGATACAAACTTCCACTTATTATAAGTCATGGGGATCTAATGTACAGCCTAATGACTACAGTTAATAATACTGTATGGCATATTTGACATTAAAGAGAGTAAATCCTAAAAGTTTTCATCGCAAGGTAAAAACATGTATGGCAACAGATGTTAATAAGACTTCGTGTGGTGATCATTTTGCAACAGATACAAATATCAAACCATTATGCTGTACACCTGAAACTAATATAATGCTATATGTCAATTACACCTCCATTATAAAATAATAAACAACATCATGTCTTTCAAAAAAGAAAAAAAAGAAAGATAACCTTCTTAGGTGGATTTGTATTTTGGCATCTATCACATGGTATTGTAGTGATATACAATACCTTGCCCTCTATTAGTGCATAACGAACCACCCAAAACATAGTGGTTTAAAACGATTTATTATTCTCATAATTCTGTGGGTTTGTCAATCCGAGTGATTCTTCTGCTGGATTCATCTGGGATCGCTCATGTGCCTGCAGTCATCTGACAAGCCTACTGAAGTCCAAGCTAGCCTCAGTCACATGTCTGGAATGCGAGCCCTGGAAAGGCATTTCTGTTCTCCCCAAAGGGCCTTTCAGCCTCCAGTCACTTAGACTAGATTCTTCACAACACCAATCTCCCTCAGTGTCAAGCGCACAAATCCCAATATGGAGGCACTTAGCAAGACCTCACATGGGTCATGCTGGCCACTGGCCCAGGTAAGTCACATGACCAAATCCAGAGTCAATGGGGGAAGGTCCACATAAAGGCAATGATATCCGGTTGATATTTTATAGGAATGTGCCAACATCCACGACAAATTTAAGAATTTAGGAAACCAACAGCATTCCCATTACTTACTACTTGCCTGTTGCCCACAGTCCATAATACACTTCTGGGTAGTCGTACTCCCTAGGGAGAATTTTATAAATTTTAGACATTTTGGGTGTTCCAGTGAAAAAGAGGCAGAGAATGCACACATGAATTGTATAGTTTTATTATAAATTATGTACCTTGTATTTTTCCTTTATGTTGTAGTTTGACCGTTATGTTGATTTTTTTATAAAAATATCAGGTGCAAGTAGGTTTTATTATCCATGAATTTTCTTTCAGGATACTAAAGTTGTATTACAAAATACCCGTTAGTCGAGGACGTGTTGGGGTCCCCTATTTGTGAAACTTAGGAATTCAGCTTGTGTTTAACGAGGAGCCTTCAGTTATTTTCAAACCCTGCTGGTCAGATTAAATGTCACTGTATTTTTCAATAGTTATTTGTAATTTTTATTTCTGTTTTGAGACTGTGGGACAGAAAACATGGTGAGGGGTGGGGGGAGGTCTTCCGGAAGCAGTGGAAAAATAAAAAGTGGCAAACCTTTCTTTGCCAGATTCAGCCCTTCTCCAAGACCCCAAAACAGTCTCAATCACCCTCCTTGGCACGGTGAATTTACTTCTAGATTATTGTTCGAATTGTGAGCTTATTATACAGCAATACGCAGGATTCCTTTCCAACTCTTGGGTGTAGCCGAACAGATGGTGCTGTTCCCGAGCCCGGCAGCTGGAAGGGACCCAGGCTGCGCTCGGCACACAGTAGGGGCACCGTAAATGCTGATTGACCGAGTTCATTGCGGCGGTTGACGCAGAGCCCTCCCTTCCCCAGGCAGTATTCTTATCTCTCTCCAAGCCCACACCCCTGGCCCGGGGGGGGGCGGTGAGCTCGGAGCAGATGGCGGCTCCGGGTGCCAGGTGTGCGGCGCGTCCGGCGCGGTGCTGGGCACCGAGTTCTTGGGTCCCGGCCCCACCCGACCCCTCCCATCCCACGGGCTCCGCCGTCGCCGCGGTCGGCGGCACACGTGCGCCCGGGCGGGAGCGGGGTCCCGGAGGGCAGGGCCGGGCCGGGAGCACGGAGACGGGTGCCTGGCGGAGCCCGTGCGTCCCGCCGCGCGCCCCCGCCCCCGCGCCTTCCCGCCTCGCCGCTTTGCAACCGCGCGCCTTCCTCCCTCCGCGCCCCGCGCCCCGGCTTCCTAGCCGGCAGGGGCCCCGCTCGCGCCCGCCCGCTCCCCGGCGGCTCGCCCTCCCCGGCAGGGCGCCCCAGCCCGCCCCCGCACAGCCCCCCGCGGCGCTCAGCCGCGCGGCTCCAGCGTCGTTCCGGGAGCGAGCGGCCGCTTTCCGCGCCAGGCTCCGGCACGGACTGCTTCTACTCGGCAGGTGGGGTGGCGGCCCGGGGGCGCGCTCCCGTCCACACCGCCTGTTAGGGTCGCTCGGATAGTTTCCGGGGGCCCGGGAGCGAGTGGGTGACCCCTCCGCCTCCCACGACGCTTACTCTCGGGCCTGGAGACCGCGGGTGCCCCCCGAATCCGAGGGGGACAGAGCGAGCCGAACCCCTGCTGCTTCCTCGTCCCGGCGCCTGGGGCGCAGCCTCCGCCAGTTACCTGCGGGCCAGACGCCCCCTCCTCCCTGACCTGAAACCCGGGCCGAATCCCCGGGGGTGCGGGTGCACCCCTGGGCGAGGGCACCCCCGAGCCCCCTCCCGCCTTTCCCGCACCGGAGGGAGGGCACTGAGGCAGTCCTGCCCTTCCGAAGACCCGGAGGCGGGGGGCGACGCTTGGGGACCGGGGTGCAGCCAGCTGTCACCCCGACCCCCGCGCCCCCCGGCGCTGGCCTCGCCTCACCCGCCGCGGGCGCGCGCCCCGCCCCGCCCCGCAGTCCCGGCGGACCCGGCGCGCAGACACCGAGCGGGGTCCCCCCGCCCCCGCCCCCGCCCCCGCCCCCCGAGCGGGGGCTCCCGACGCGGCGCACGCACAGAGCACGTCGGCGTGCGGAGCGGAGGCCGTGGGCCCGCGAGAGCCCGCGGCCCGGTGGCGGCCGGTTCCGGTCAGCGACGGAACCGGGCGCCACCGCCGAGGGCCGGGCCGGCTCGGGGCGGGGGGACGGCGCGCGGGGGCAGCACCCGTCCCCTCCCTCCCCTGCCCGCCGCCCGGGCCCGGCCCGGCTTCAAAGGGGCGCCGGGAGCGCGCGCGGGGAGGGGCGTCTTCCCGCGCGCGCGCGCCCCCGGCTCCTTCCCGGGTCGGAAAGCTCGGCGGCTGACGGTGTGAGGCGCTGCCGACGGGACCGCCGGAAGCACGCTCACAGCAGGGAAGACTGCTCCAGAAGCCCCGCCCGAGTCCGCTCCGGCTGATTTCCCTCCTGTGACTGTAACCGAAGGGCGCGGCGCCCCGGCCGCGGGAAGCCTCGTTCCCAGGAGGGGGAGCCCCGGGCCGCCCTGAGGCCCCGCGCGCCGCCGTCCGGAACGCGGGGTGCTGCAGACGTGGCCACGGACCGCGTCCCGGGTTCGGCTCCCGTGTCCAAACGCGAGGCCGGCCCTGGCTCCCCCGGTCCCCGCGAGCACCTGACCGGTGAACGGGGGTGGCGGTGGGCGGCCTCGAGCCCTGACTTACGGGGGGGGGGGGGGGGGGGGGGGGGGGGATGATCCGAATTCGCCGACACACCCTCGTTCCCGCCGACCGTTGAAAGTGCTCCCTAAGGCAGGCAGAGCAGTGGCGGGTGATGGGGTGCGGGAGGAGGGGGGACGAAGACCGCAGTCTGACCGTCCTCACGTCTTCCCACGGCTGCCGGCGGGCGCAGGGAGGCTCAGCGCTGCCACCTGGCGGCCGCTCCCTCCCGGAGGGGGAGCGCCCTGGCCGCCGAGCGCGCGCGGACCCCCGGCGGGTGGGCCTCGCCTAACAGCGGCGGCTCGAATCCGCGCTTGCGACGCAGGGGACCCGGGCACACGCTCGGGAGCAAGGAAAGGTGGCTTGGTGTGGCCGTCGAGGGCTGACTTACTCCCACCAGACGCTCCTCGCCGGTGAGCAAGGGCGAGAAAGTGGCAAGACAATTATCAGAAATGCTTACCTCTTAGTGTATTCCAGGAGTAAACTAAATCACGGATTTCATCTTGTCCCACACTCCCTATTGTGCTCTTTTGTAAATACGAGTTGCTTCCGTATGTTATTTTATCCACACACACCCTCAAAGGGAAGTCCAGGTCTCCTACCATGAAGCGCACGTTGTCATTTGTCTACGTGATTGAGGAGTCAATCAGCCCCCGTTGGAGGGTTCCTTTCCCTCAAGTGTGGAACAGAAATCCCTGGGCCTTTCAGTTGGCAAAGTCCAGTGACATCAGATTTCCCAGGGCTGCTCCCCGCCTGCTAAAGTAACAAACACGCGGGTTCCGCACCCCCTTTATTTCACTTGAACTGAACGCTTGTCAGACCGGCTCCCACAGCCACGGTTTCTATAACCAAGGCAAGGCAAAAATCTTGCAAATCAGTGCACATCCAGGAGATTTGTTAAACTGATTTCCCTCCAGTCTCCCCACCCCCAGCATGCCACAGGAATAGAATCTTATTTCCATCTATACCCCATCCCATTTTATGGATGTGAGATTTTATGTTGTACAGGTGTGTGAGAGCAGAAGAAATGAATTAGCAGATATGGCATCTCAAATAGAATTCCATTATTTAATGGAAAAGATCATTTCCCTTCACTCAAAATTTGAACTGTCTAACATCAGTGCTAACAATTTATTATTCTAAAATAGTTGTGGGTTTTTTTTTCCTGCAAAATTGTCTTGGTTTACTGTTAAATATGGCTTAAAGAGTAGCATGAAGAATTACTGCATGTGCTGCAAAGCCAGCAGAGGGATCACTGAGTACTGACTTCCTAGGGGCCACCAAATATCTGGTATTTGGGGAAAAAAATGTCAGTAATGGAGAACTGGGTACAAAGTATGTGATGTTAGGTAATGAGAACGCAGAGATCTCTTCTCGGTACTTGGTATTCGGAGGCCCACTACATTCCAGCATGCACATGAGACTTTAATAAGATCCATTTGTCAAGTGTTTTCTTACATTTGAAAAGAAATACTGACATTGACATAGAAGAACAAACCTACTTTACAAGTCTGAGCAGTCGTATATACTATAATCATGTTACAAAGCCCATGGAAATTACTAATGCCCTATTTCTTTAGTTCTAAGAAGTTGTTCTTTTCGTTTTCAAAACGAATGTTTTCAACATCTCTGAAATAAGAAGACGACTTAAAACTGAGGGGATATCATAGCTTCATGGGCAATTTTTCTTCCTTAGTTGCATGTAACAGTGATGTGTCTTAAAAGCTACTGGACTTGTTAAAATACAGAAAATACATCTCACAATAGACATAGGACAGTGGCTGTCTTTTTAGTATATACTTTTAAAAACCTGTGTGTAGTGCACCTGGCTGGCTCAGTCCATGGAGGCTACAGCTCTTGACCTCAGGGTTGTAAGTTCGAGTCCCACGTTGGGTGTAAAGTTTACTTAAACATAAAAATCTTAAATTGCTGTAATTTAAAAATGTTTAAAAGTTAGGGGGCGCCTGGGTGGCTTAGTCAGTTAAGCGTCCAACTTTCACTTAGGTCATGATCTCGCGGTTCGTGGGTTCAGGCCGCGCATCGGGCTCTGTGCTGACTGCCAGCTCAGAGCCTGGAGCCTGTTTCAGTCTGTGACTCCCTCTCTCTCTCACCCTCCCCTGCTCACGCTGTCTCTCTCTCTCTCTCTCTCCTAGAAATAAATAAAAAATATTTTTTAAAAAAGTTAAAAACCCACGTGTTTTAAGCATAAACAAAATTACTAGGCCCACTTTAAGTTCCCCTTCCCCCCATCATTTTCAGTGGTAGAGCAGAAATGGTTTCAGAAATGTAATCAATATATTGATAGCCACCTTGACTGTATTATCACAAACTAGCTACCCTCTCAAATCATTCGTTGGTACAAATCCCAATATAAATATATTTATTCTCTTTTTTTATTCTAGTGAAGATACTAATTTTATACATAACAGACCTCTTAAGAGTGATTTTTATGTCGGAGTATAACATTTAGGCTTGTTCAGGTGTTTGGGTGTGCATACCAAAGAAAAGAAAATGCACGATGACATACCCAACTTTGTTATATGCCGACAAACAAAGGTTTTTTTTTCTTGTTTAAGGTTTGTTCCCCCTTCTAAAAGAAAAAGAATATAACCTGGGTAGGTAGTGGCCAAAAATTAGTTGCTGTTACTCACAAAAACATTCTTGCTTGGGTTGATCCTTGAAGATCCAGTCAGATGTCTCCAAAGGGTGTTATTTCCAGTAAAATTCTAAACCTGACAACCTGGGCCCCTCGCCAGCTACATACTTTCAAAGTTTGACAAGATAAATAGAAATCTGCTGCCTCCCACTAGCCCGATCTGAATCAAAATTTCGCTTAATTACGTTGGGTTGTCCCTACCTAACCACCTATGCCTGGCATGTAGAAAAACAGTTCACTATTACGGCGTTAGGAAAGACCAATTTTTACTTGCGCTCTAATTTTCACCCCTTGGAGCAGAGCTCATTTTTGTGGCCAAATAAACATATATTCTGATCGCCTGTGTAGCTTTCCTCTGCCACATTCGCCACAATACTCTCCACTTTAAAATCATGATTTAAAATCACGAAGGCAACAGGATTGCCACTGTTGTCTTTGTATGGGCCGCATCCATACTCTGTGATTACTTTTCAAATCACTGACCATCCTCAGGGGGCCTGGCTGGCTCAGCAGGTAAAGCATGCTACCCTTAATCTGAGTTCAATCCCCACGGAGGGCGTGGGGACTAAATACTTTATAACAAAAAAATCAGTGACCGTCCACAATTTTAGTCTCGTGAACAACAAAATGCTGCTTCTTCTAGAAAGAGTGTCTCGGACACTTGAATTACCACGAGAAGGATAAGAGCATTCACCGGGGGCTTGCGATGCATCAAACTCATCGGACCCTCACACCAACCCCATGTGAAGCAGCTCCCAGTGTTCCTATAGCACGTATGAGGAAGACTGAGACTTAATCATATGCCCAGAGTACAAAACCACTAAGAAGGTCTAGCATCTAGGTCTAACATACATCCAGAGGCTCCACTGTCTTCCGCCACCAGTGACCACCTCCTTCTTTCCCTTGGCCTTTTAGCTCCATTTGATCCAAGCAACATATAAGCAACATAAAAAGAATATATAGGAGAAAATATATATAAAAGAAAGCACCCTTCTTAAAGGGTTGGGGCGGGGCAGGGGCAGAAGGGAGGAGAGTGAAGCGACCTTTAATTTTGAAAACGTGGGCAACAAATCCTGAGAAAGTAAAATCGATTCCAACCCTTTACTCAGCATGATCATCCTATACAAAACTCCGTGGAAAATCTCCCACGGAGTTAAGTATGGAACACCGCGTGATGTTTTCCAGGGGAGAGGTCCTCTGTTTGGGCTCTCTAGGATTTATAGGGGGGGGGGGGTTAAATCATTAAAGAACCATAGTTAACCCCTGTTTGGTTAAGAGAGCACGCAATTGGTGCAAAAATTCCTCTCCTCCGTCTTCTACAAACAGAACAAAAATTGCTCTGAAGGGGTTTACACAATACATCACCATCTGTGCTGTACCTAGAGTTGTTAAAATCATCGTGATGACAGGTGTCTAGGTACCACTTTCTTAATGGTTTTCAATATCCACTGATTTATTGTGGTGGCTTTCCTTCCCCCTTTTACATCCTTGGCTTTACGAAGGATCCGATGAACAGATTTTGCACTAGAGGCTGATTCTTTATTCCAGCACTGAAAAGAACTAATAAAAATAATCACTTGGCTTTTAAGCAGAAAGCTTCCATTTACAGTATTTCACCCTTACTCCCCCCAACACTTCCAAGCCCCTTGTTATCTAACATAATGGTTAGAATACATTTCCGTCTCTCCCCTTAATAATTTCATGCATTAACATCCTTTTTACACACCACACGCACACACACGCGCGCGCACACACAGAGCAAAAGGGAAAAAAGGCAGCAGAAATCTCAGCTGTACTTCTAGCCCTTTTAAAAAGTTTGCTCTGTAAATTGGAATGAGGTCAGATTTGGAGCTTCTCATTGCACGCGGAGATTATTATTGCATCGGGTTCCAAGCCAATGGGAAGCCCGGGGGAGGGGCTTGGCACGAGGAAGCGTTGGTTACAGCGGCTGATTGGCCGCGGCCGGGACTGTGAACGGATAAAGGGGCGCGAGGCGGAATCGGGGTCCGCTCTAAGCTGCAGCCAGAGAAACCGTGTGAGGGGCCGAGGCCCGTTGGGCTCCCGGGTCTCTGCTTCTCGCACGCTCTTTAAGAGTCTGCAGTAGAGGAACTCAGCCATCTCCAGCTCCCTTCTTGCAGAAGGGAGGGGGGAACCATACATTTATTCATGCCAGTCTGTTGCACGAAGGCTTTTTGGCTTCCTACCTTGCAACAAAATAATTGCACAAACTCCTTAGTGCCGATTCCGCCCACTGAGAGTCCCGGAGCCAGAGTCTTTTTTGCTTTGCATTGTAGGCAAGGGACTAAGTGATAGAGACGATGTCGCTTTCCTGAGCTCCTGAGAGCGCTCGTGGACTGGAACCAACTGCTTCAGGGGAAGAGAGAGAGAGAGAGGAAAAAAAAAAAAAAAAAGACTTGCCTGGGAGGCGGCGAGAAACTTGCATTGGAAGCTTCAGCGACCAGCCTTCGAGAAACTCCTCTGCACTTGAGCCCGCGCTGCAGACCCGGAGCCGAGCGACGGAGCGAACTGCAGCGGCGCGGCGAGAGCGAGCGGGGAAGAGCGAGGAGGAGCGAGCGAGGAGGAGAGGGAGGGAGAGGCCCTCCAGCCTGGGAGCTACAACCGTCCGCGGCGGGCAGGCTGCTCCCTCCCCGCGCCTCCGCGAGGCCGTCCCCGCCGCGCGCGCCGCCGCCGCCGCCCCGCCGGGGCCTGGAGGGGCCCGCACGGCCGCCCGCCGCCCGCCGCGCGCGCGGCCCGGGGAGCCGCGAGGGCCCGGCGGTCGCGCCGCGGCCGCCGCCAGGGCGTGAGCGCGCGCGGGCGCCCGGCGAGCCGCGGCCATGGTGCAGCAGACCAACAACGCGGAGAACACCGAGGCGCTGCTGGCCGGCGAGAGCTCGGACTCGGGCGCCGGCCTGGAGCTGGGCATCGCGTCGTCGCCCACGCCCGGCTGCACCGCGTCGGCGGGCGGCAAGGCGGACGACCCGAGCTGGTGCAAGACGCCGAGCGGCCACATCAAGCGGCCCATGAACGCCTTCATGGTGTGGTCGCAGATCGAGCGGCGCAAGATCATGGAGCAGTCGCCCGACATGCACAACGCCGAGATCTCCAAGCGGCTGGGCAAGCGCTGGAAGCTGCTCAAGGACAGCGACAAGATCCCGTTCATCCGCGAGGCGGAGCGGCTGCGCCTCAAGCACATGGCTGACTACCCCGACTACAAGTACCGGCCGAGGAAGAAGGTGAAGTCCGGCAACGCCGCCGCGGGCGCCGCGGCCGCCGCCGCCTGCAAGCCGGCCGACAAGGGAGACAAGGTGGGCGGCGGGGGCGGCGGCGGCGGCGGCGGCGGCGGCGGCGCGGGGGGAGGGGGCGGCGGCGGCGGCGGCGGCGGCGCCGCCAAACCCGCGCAGAAAAAGAGCTGCGGCTCCAAAGCGGCGGGCGGCGCGGGCGGCGGGGCCGGCAAGCCGCACGCCAAGCTGCTCCTGGCGGGCGGCGGCGGCGGGAAGGCGGCGGCCGCGGGCGCCTTCGCGGCCGAGCAGGCGGGGGCCGCGGCCCTGCTGCCCCCGGGCGCCGCCGCCGCCGCCGCCGCCGACCACCACGCGCTGTACAAGGCGCGGACTCCCGGCGCGGCCGCCTCGGCCTCCGCCGCCGCCGCCGCCGCCGCCCCGGGCCTGGCGGCGCCCGGCAAGCACGCGGCCGACAGGAAGGTGAAGCGCGTCTACCTGTTCGGCGGGCTGGGCGCGGCGGCGTCGCCCGCGGGCGCCGACCCCGGCGACCCCCTGGGCCTGTACGAGGACGGCGGCGCGGGCCTCAGCGGCCGCAGCAGCGCCGCGTCGTCGCCCGCCGCCGGCCGCTCCCCCGCCGAGCACCGCGGCGCCGCCGGCCTGCGCGCCGCCTCGCCCGCGCCGTCCAGCGCGCCGTCGCACGCGTCGTCGTCCGCGTCGTCGCGCTCGTCGTGCGCCTCGTCGTCCGGCTCCTCGTCGTCCGACGACGAGTTCGAGGACGAGCTGCTCGACCTGCACCCCAGCGCGAACTTTGAGAGCATGTCGCTGGGCAGCTTCAGCTCGTCGTCGGCGCTGGACCGGGACCTGGACTTCAACCTCGAGCCGGGCTCGGGCTCGCACTTCGAGTTCCCGGACTACTGCACGCCCGAGGTGAGCGAGATGATCTCGGGGGACTGGCTGGAGTCCAGCATCTCCAACCTGGTCTTCACCTACTGAGGGGCCCGGGGGCGGGGGGGGGGGG